GTGGCCGAAATCTGGCAAATGTCAGTGGGTGGAGGTGTTTTTGTCAATTTATAATTGTTATAGGTATTTAGTTAAATTAACAAACCTAGGGGGTTAAAAATAGTCTAAATATTTTAAAAAAATGTACAAAAAACTTCTGAGAATACTACTTAACTCAACATTTTCCAAAAGACTATTCTAAAAACTACCAAAATAGTGAACCAAACGGATTTCTCTTCTTATTCAAAGGACATGAGACTAAGCCCAAAAGAGAAAATAGAAAAATAAGCCCAATAATGAGACTAGTCCAAATGCAAAATAGACTCAATAAACACAAAAGAGAACAAAATTCAATGTATCAACCCTACCCATTAGGGGTGGGCAATTCCAGGTACCTGCTTTTTTTAAGGAACCGGAACCAACCAGTTCCTTTGATTTGGAACAGGAACCAAAACCAAAACCAAAGGTTCCAGCTCCTAAAAACCTAGAACCAGAACCTGTGTTACAAGTTCCAATTCCGGTTCCGGATACCCGGGCAAACATTAATTACCCCATATTTAAAAAAATTACAATTACACCCCTAACCGTTTTCTGAAATGTAAATACACCCTGCAAACTTTACAAAAATTACAACTATTCCAATATCCATTTCAACCGCCCAAAATTAAAATTACATAACACTTTAAAACTTTAAATAACACAAGCACAACAACATAATAACATATCAACTATCAAGTTTCATCCTCCCAAAATTAAAATTACATAACACATTAAATAACACAAGAACATCACATAATAAGTTAAAATCATATCAATTTTCATCCTCCAAAAATTAAAATTACATAACATTTTAAATAACCCAAGTACAACAACATTATAACCACAATACTATGTGTTAGGGATTGATTAACACACTTCGGTGATGGATTACCCATTTTAAAGTGCAGCGAAATATTTACCAAGTTGATTATGCAAATCCAATTTGAACACATCAAACATAGGTGCAGAAAATAAAGAACACCACCATAGACATGGTTCGGCTAAATCTACTTTTAGCCTACATCCATGGGACCTTGTCCAGATCGAAGCAATCCACTAAGTTAAAAACATATTACAAGATATAGTTCAAAGTTGATCTAAGTTAAAGTAAAAAAAAACTCCCTATTCAACTTTACACTTAGCACCACGCTATGAATCCTTAACATGTAACAACTCCTTGGATCTTCTTCATGACGGGAACACACCCAAGAACAACTTGTAAACAATCAAGCTTCAAACACCGATGCCACACACCAGCAGTAGCAAATGAACCATGTTCCAAGAGCTATCAAGTCTATGTTTGATATGGTGAGGTTTGGGCACAAATGGAAATGAAACTATGAACCTTAAAAGAAGAAATACTCTAAGAAACTCAGAGTACAAATGAAATAAAAGATCAAAAGGTTAGATTGATTTACGTAAGAAAGAGTATTATATAATGAAAGATTTCTTGCTCAACAATATAGTGCCACGTCAGCCAATAAGGGGTTGACCCATGTTTGTCCAAATAAGGAAAGTATTCCTTCTTTTTGTTTGGACCACAAAGCAAATCGGGAAAGTTAACTTTATTCCTTAGGACCATCTAAGCATTTGTGACATATGTAGAGAGGTACTAAAAAGTAAGAGACAAAGATAAACAATATCTTTTCTACTTTATCAGACAAGCAACTCATGTTGGGTTGCAAATATTTGAAGTGAGAGTGTAAGCACAAACCATTGTGCACATACACTCGAAACGAACCAAGCCAAGACACAAGTCTGGCAATTAGTGTGCACGAGGAACTGATGTGCACACACACAACAGATGAAACAAGCCAAACAAAAGAATTGGCAACCAGTGTGCACACATAACTATTGTGCACATACACAAATCATAAGTTTGACAAATATGAATATTCCACATTCTCCCCCTTTGTCAAACTTATGAACAAAGAACATAATAAAAGAGATCAAGTGCAAACCTGCTTTAAATCAACCAATTAAGACATGCAGTTTTGCACAAACACAAACACATAAACAAAAATAAGCAACATAAATGTAAACACATGATTAGTAAATAAAACAAATAAAACAAGATAAAATTACTAAGGAGTTCAGAGAGAACAAAAACTAAAAATAGTAGCAACCAAAGAAACAAACTCCCCTATGGAGAGATAATAAAAAAAATTCTGAGTTTTTCCAACCCCATGCTTCTTACTCCCCCTCTTTGTTCATAAGTCTTGAAGACTTTCGAGAGGGTTGAGAAGAATGACCAACTTTCCTCTTGGTTTTGCGTTTCGGAAGGGCTGTGAGAGTGACATGTGAGTCATCCACTTGAACTTTTGGAACCGTAGCAGGGGAGGTGACAACAGGTGTTAGAGTAGATGCCCTAGAGCCAATCAATTATTGTGGAATTGACTCTTTGTAATAATGTTCATTAATCAATAATAAAAGGCATTTTATTCTATATCGCGTAAATCATTATTATTGCAATATGTATTGATATATGTCCCTTCGTAAAACCGATCCTGAGAGATGTGCAAAGCAAACTTGCTTGATTCTACTGAACAACTTGTCAGCTAGAAAAGTGATATTTTCAATAGTTAGGTATATTAATCCTTTAATCTTATTCTAGGACCAAAACCTCAAATATTGAAGAGGTAATTATCTTGCTTTTGTGCCTAATTATACTATCTACATAGCTGGATTAAGTTCAGAGTAAAATATTCTTAGTAATTTAAAAGCTTTGTGAAGGTGATAACGATATTAAAGAAGAATATTTATTATGTTTTCATGTGAAAATAATTTTATATTAGAATTGATATTTGCTCAACAAGTTAACAGAATTCAAGAGAAAATCCAAAGTTTTAGAATTAATAGTTGATTTAACATAGAATTTGAAAAAGAAATCCCGAATTTGATGGAAGAATTTCTTTCATTCTTCAATTTCAGGCCTTGAAGAAGATGTCAGACTTTGTGGAAAAAAGTGGGGGTGAACGATAAATGAAAGATTTTGTCCTATTATTTTATAAACTACTTTAATTACAATTCTGTCCCTATTTGGGAGCTAAAGAGCAACTCAATGGGGTCTAAAGATCAATATCTAGATTAGCCGGGCTCCGTTTGTTTCACTACTTTCCCGCTATCCTATTCCATTATCCTATCCTAAAAACCCAAAAATACATTTGTTTCAATATCTCAAATCTAATCATATTCTATTCAACTCAAAATATTTAGATTATTTTTAACTCCCTAGGTATGTTAATTAACTAAATACCCCCAACAATAAAAGTTTATAAATTGGCAAAAACACTCTCACCCACCCACATTTGCCAGATTCCGCTACCACCACCAGAGGTGGTCGGATCTACCATAATGGCACATTACCGGCTGGATTTGCGAGTAGTGCATCGATCTGGCCTTTTCCGGCCAAAGATCTAGTCGTTGATGGCCAGATTTTGTTGATGAGCATGCCAATCTTGGCCGTCGTTGGGATGTCAATGACCTAGATCTGTGGTTATAGATCTAGCCTTTTCTGGCCAGATCCAGGTGGATCTAGTCGGGAGAGGCCAGACAACGTACTATGGCCAGATCCAACCGGTAGTGTGCCATCACGAATTCTGGCCATCTTCTAGTGGTGGTGGCCGAATTTTATCTATAGATACCTTAAGAAAACATATATGAAAAAATTATTTTTAGATGATCAAGTGGTTCAATAGAGACTCTTGGTGTATTATTCAAAAAGTCATAAGCTTAAGTCTTTTCTTGGTTGCTAATAGGGATAAGCACTGAAATTCTTACTTGGCTTGTAGTTTTAAAGTCTCGGAAGATTAGTTGAGATACGTGTAAGTTGGTTTAACACCTAGGTCATTAAAACAAAAAAAAAAAAAAAAAAAAACCAAGAGATATGAAAAAAACTTTTTCTCATTTACTTTGACTTTGACTTGGATTTGGCCTGCCGACAAGTCTTAATGGATGAGAAACAATCTCACTTTAGTAATTGAATCATAATATTTTCCAGGGAAGGGAAGTTATGTTCACTGAAATTGAAACTGATTGGTGTATCCCTAATGTAATGGATGTCCCATGAACTCTGAACACATTGTGTTGATGCATGATTTTGACACCAACTAAACACACGTGTGAAATACTGAGCTAACTCAGAGAACACACACAATTGAGGGTATGAGAATGGATAAAAGATGGAGAACGATGTTTAAAGTGGTTCAGATGTTTAAACAAGCGACTCCTACGTCCATTGATATTGTATTAATATACTGAGGTCAGCTGGTAGCGTTCAACGAACTGACTTACAAGTGATTATAAAGAGAAAATAAGTAAGTTATTACAGAGAAAAATTAGCTAATCCCACAAACGGGAGAGGAGCCATCTATTTATAGTGGGATGAAATCACGTAATGATTACTAAATCAGGAAGTGGGTCAGATTTCCGTCCAAATCCTTCCTTGTGCCCCGTTATTCACCTGCCCGAGTGCTTTACTCGATTCTCGCAGGGATTGGACATGTGGATCACCTCCAACCCTTCACCAGCCTGACGCGCACCTATTACAGTGGTAGGGGCACGCCTCTTGCATCGGCGCGCGACGTGGCTGCACCTAAACGACACCTGGACTTACCTAAGCTCTGACCACTTGTGCTGACAGGTTTCTGTGTCAGCCCTACTTTTCTAGGCATAACATATTGTAATACGATATTTGATTAAATTAGTATATGTATTTAGATGTGTTTTTCATTCCAATCAAATCTGTGGATATATAAATATAATGCTTATGAAATGAAGAGACAGGAATTCGGTAACAAGAGAAAATATAAAATAGTTATGTTTTATTTTCCACTTAAAAGGAGGTTAGATTAGAATAGTGATTTTTAGTCCTACATATTTTATCTTTAAATCCTACCACCAATTTGAAATAGGATATAAATGTAATTTTATCTTTATATTTAAAAGTTAAAACTCCTTTGAAAGAAAAATATCCTAATAACTTAAAAGCTTTGTGAAAGNATGTCAACTGGAATCTGTGTGATCACTTCATTTTTGTAAGTACATGATTATGTTAACATGCACAAAGAATGAAAATCTTAGGGATAATTCTAATTCTGATTTCTGTTTATTGTATGAATTATAAAATATAGTAAAATGTTTTTATTTTTATTGATTCTAATTTTTTTTTTTTCCAAACCCAAATAATTTCCAAAGGGCGAAGAAAAAGAAGATAAATACTTACTATATCTATGACTGTTTTAGGGTTTAGGAATGCAGGAAGGTGGCCTTTGCCATATGCAATAGCAACTGGGTCAATCATCCTAATGATTTTCAAGAGAGAAAAAATTAGTGATTCAGATTTTACTGAAAGAGTGATACTAAGCATTTCATATTAAGCCGACTTATTATTTGCATATGAGGGTGTGTAGACACCATTTGGAATAATAAATTCGTGATACTACTAGAAATAATAATATTACTTCTAATGAAATACAAGAGAATTAATAGATTATAGCAAGATGTAATTTATTGATAACAAAAGAAGGGGGTACCTGTTTCCTTGTATCCATCCAGGGAAAGGCTCCCTAAAAGTGCTTTCAACAATGCTTGGACGAACAATAGCAACTGGGATTTCTCCTCTGTTCTTATCAATTACTAGTTCTCCCATGGCCTTGGTAAACTCATAAACATTTTTCCAACCACAACTTTTTGCTCTGTGAGATGGAAATTTGTAATCAGCTAGCTTTACTGATTTCAGGGAAAAATTCAAAATAATATATCTTGACCAACTAATTTTAACATAATTGTACTATATCCAGAGATAGTCAATACATATATCTCACAATGATATTTAGCTTAATAACATCACCAATCTTCTTTTCTAGACCTAACAAGTACATGTTCACAATACATTTATCAAATATGAAGCAAGGTCAATTATAAACTGAATAAATCACCTTTCTAGACCCATTTCTTTCATTTTCTGAGTAAGTTCTGCACCTCGATGAAAAGCAAGACTTGAATCCAAAGCCAACTTCACTTCGGCATCAACATCCACAGTAGGGTGTGATAATGGTGTGGTTTTGGAGGTGAGAGTCTCGCCTAAGTTTCCCATAGTAACGTATGCTACACAAGATGAAAGACTAAGTACATCTATAGATTAACCTAATTGTTTAAATTATTTCATAATTTTCTACTCTTTAAATTTACTTACCAGTTGATACATGTATGAAACAACAAAGTTTCTTGCACTGCTTTGCGAAATTGAGTATTTGAGATGGTCCTTTTGTATTTATGTTCACAGCAACATCAAATCTAAGTTGCATTGAACAAAGTTTAAGTATGTATAAAATTAGGATGTCATCAAATAAAATTTATATAGAAGAAGAATTGTAAAAATTAATAAGGATGAGGAAGAACCTCTCATCAAATGTTGTATTGGCTGCTGAATTTATAATAACATCTACATCTGTTGCAATTTCGTTCTCTAAATCAGGATTCATTCCAAGATTTGATTCACCAATATTTCCAGGTACAGGAACCAGCTTACTTAACATGAAATCTTGGTAAGATTCCCCATGCATATCTCTCACCAAGTTGAATAAAGTTGAATTTATAATCTATTGAACAAAAAAAAAAAAGGAAGAAGAAGAATAAAGTTTGTTAGTGAAAAAAAAAGAGAAAAGTATAAAACAACTTATAATAAATTTATAAGATAAGTAAGAATATTCGGGTGCGAATGTCTGCATGATTTTTAAATCTGGACATTTGTTGGTTGACGGTAATGAGGACTAAACAACTTATAATAGTTTTTTATGAAGAGCATTTTATCTGGATTTTTGTCTTTTAGTGTTAGAAGATCGTAATGAATCATTTAACACTACCAGCAACCCAGACATCTCCACCAAGACAAGCTGAAAGAATAAAGCTTATGTATTAGATGGAGACCTACTTCATATTTTATTCTGTCTAATGCAGCTTCTTTGCTTTCTGCCTTAATTAAAAGATAGATTTTGCCAACCTCAGGTGTTGCTCGTAGTATCTTCTCAACTACAGCTGTAAAATAAAAAAAGGAGAATAGATGAGGAATCAGTATCCTTCGTTCCATCGTGGTTCAAAAAAATAAAAAAATGTATAGATATATAGTTTTAATTTATCGGTTCACTAAGTAGTCAATATGTGCAAAAATAAATAAATAAACTACTGTAACAATGGAATGTAACGTAAACACATTATTTATAGACCATATGAAATAATGAAAAGATTGTAAATTAAGCAAAAAAGTTATAATACTGTGCCGTCCGAATATGACTACGGGGTGTGACATGTATATGATATGAATTCTATACAAACTCATTTATTGGCACATCACATCTTTTAGTTTTTGATTGATGAAAGAAAGTTTCGATTGAACATTTAAAAAAATATATATATTTATTGCTAACTGATACTAGTAAAATGAGTAGTGTATCTAAAAGAAATATGGAAATCCACATTAAACAAGATAAGTTGTCTCTTTTACCTTTGGCTAGGAGACCAGTGGCACCACTAATGAAATAGTTCTTCCCAGGAAGAAAATTAAGAATGCCAATGCCATTCTTGCTCCTTTCAACCTTGGGTTTCTTATCATATACTACTGATAGTTCGCTGTGTATTGACACTCTTTCTTTCGCAACACTTTTGCTACCCAATTTAAGAGTATTTTTCTTCAAATTCAACTTCAACTGAGAAGAAAAACCATAAAATGTATTGTAAATACAACTTGTATTATCTATTTTATTAGAAAACCTATAGTGTGCATTAATTGGGAAAGAATTTAGCTGCAATGAGTTCATGGCTTCAAAGAAAGAATTGCGAGCTGATTGTGATCAAAATGGGGCACAATACTTCATATATATAGAATTAAATACTTCATATAGATGAATGAAAGTTGGTAAGCATGGAAGAAAAGAATTGTTGTCTGTTGATGTGATGATGACCTCCATATATATATTATATAATACACATGTGTGTGTGTATGATATGTTTGAGATGATAAGATAGTTTATTAAAAGATAGGGAAAAATCCAGAAAAGAAAGTTGGTAAGCAAGGAAGAAAGATTGTTGATGTGACCGTAATAATTCAGCTCGCAAGAAAATGTACAAAAAACGTGATTTTGGAAATATTGCAGAAGGCTGAAGAAGAATTATTTATTGTTGCAAATAGTCTTTAAGATGAATAGCGGAATTGTTGATGTGACTAATAATTCAGCTCGCAAGAAAATGTACAAAAAACGTGATTTTGGAAATATTGCAGAAGGCTGAAGAAGATATTTTATTGTTGCAAATAGTTTTTAAGATGAATAGCAGTACTTAGGATGAACAAAAGCACCCATCCCATTACTTATCCCTAAATGCTATCGATCTTCCTAAAGGATTTTAAATATTTAGTACTTAAATGAACAAAAACACTTTCGTATATGTGAGAAATTATTTGGATGCAAATACTGAGATAAAAGTGATTCAAGATTTTCGAAAACACATAAAGATAAAAACAAAATAATTGGAGGTATCTAAACACATCTAATGATGCCAAAAAAAAAAAAAAAAAATTACGGAAAAGGAAATATATCTAATATGTACTGCCAACAACTACTTACTTAAAATCCCTAAATGCTATTAACCTTGCTAAAGGCATTTAAATGCTACCAACAACTACTTTTACTCTTCTAGATCTATCAAATATTTAGTACTGAAATGAACAAAAGCACTTACCCCCCCATTACTTAAAATCCCTAAACGCTATCGACATTGCTAAAGCATTTTAAATACTAACATAAACTCCTCTAGTGTTCTAAATCTATTAAATATTAGTACTTAAATGAACAAAAGCATTCCTATATGTGAGAAAATTATTAGAGTGTTTTCATAAGAATCCCTTGACAATATACAATGATATTTTCCAACTTTTTCAATTTAGATTTACCTTGGTTAAAACTTTATCTAAATTTTAAAATTTAATTTAAAATATCTTAAATTTTTCTAACTATGTATCCCATAAAAATAAAAAAATAAAAAATAAAATCTTACCTTCGCAAAGAAATATATATTTATAGATCTTTATCATGCTTTTAGATTGCTCTATTTTCTTCTTGCATAAATTCTGTTGAGTCCTTGAGATATACCCACCTTGATGAATAGTTGCTTCTAAGATATATGGTATTGACTAAAGAGGATTGCTCTGCAGTGCTATACATGTCAGCATGTTGTTATAAAATATGTTGATTATCTAGCTAGAATTGTTTAAGTATCAATAACTCTTCCCAAAAATTTCTAACAAATTCAATTCCAAGTGATGTGATCTGCATTGATATTAAAATTTATTCCGTATTTCACATCTCAAATGATGTGTCATCACATGGAATTGTCATATAATTTAATGATTGTCATTATACGTGATTGACCTAAATTAGATTTATCCATAATTAGATGACATGGTAAAAAAAAATTAATGTAAAATTTTTAGTAAAATTTTAATTTAATATCTTAAACTTTGGTAACTATGTATCCTCTCAAAAAAAAAAATAAAATAAAATAAATAAAATTCTTACTATCACGCACAAAAATATGGTTCATAACTTTTATCATTATTGTGTAGAAAAAAATCCCCAACTCAAATAAGCGAGAAGCTCAAGGCACACCCAAGCACTGAGCGAGAATTAAGCTCGGAAGAAGAGAAGCTTGGTAAGAAGCGCGAGCACCCAATCCAAGCACAGCACAACGTGTGACAAGGACGAGACCCTAATGAGTGCTTGGAAGTGCACTCATTCTTAGTGATTTTAGGGTATTTATGTGAGAATTGGGTTTAATTAGTTAATTTTAGTTAATTTATGTATCTCTTTTGTTTTCTAGAATCACAGATATGTTTTGTGAACTTTAGGTATTAGTGCTAAAAAATGAGGATCCAAGTATGCACATTGAAGGTAAAGAATCAAAATCATGTAGAAACAACGGTTCAAGATCAGAGCTCAAACGAAGAAGTTATGAATTTTTAAAATTGTTCGCCACAACAAAACTATTCAAACGCTGCGGCGCCACAAAATCATGCCGCAGGGCAATTCGTGAATTTTATCTTAAGGTTTTTCTGCTAGACATGTTGCACGAAAATGGCATAATTTGAGCTACACAACTTTGTTAACCTGATGCTTATGGCATTTTAAAGCTAAGAGACAGAGATACAACTTTCTGTTTGGTTGTGCCCAGTTCAACCTGGAGGTGGTTAAAAATGGATCTGAAAGTTACGTCAGTGCATGGAAGACAGCAGATGTGTAATTTTTTTTTTTTTTAATCGGTTATCATAATACCCTCACAGCCTCACTACTATAAATAAGGTCCTTCTCAATATTTTAGGAGAGTTAGAGTTTTTATATCAATTAAAATTATAGAGGGTTTTGAAGAAGGAATTGAGGCCTCCCTAGGTTTTTAATCAAGTCTTTGATCTTCATGGCTTTGGGGGAAGTTGAGGTTTGCTTCTTGATAATTATGTGTAACAAAACTCTCCACTGGATTCAATGTAGCCTAATTTGAAGGTGTAAGTATTCTATCAACTTAGAGTCTAGTGTGGTAACACTAGTTTTGATGTGGGGACTTCTATTGTTTTATGCACAATCAATTCTGTTTTATTCTAGTGTTATGACTCTCTTGTCATGTGACCACACTCAATTAAGTCTATTTTCATGCATGTCGTGTCGGCACATCATAGTTCATGATAACACTCGTCTAGCCAGATATTTATGTACACTTGTTGAGTCTCCTTAGTTGCTAGGATATTATCTTTATCTAAGATTTGTATAAGTGGCTGTACACTTGTCATTAGCCCATATGTGTATTGAAAAATTTGTTTGCTCTGTTTGTGGTCTATGAAAGTTTGGTGAAATCTTTCCCAAAATACCTAAACACAAAAGCACATGTTGGCTGGTTGTCCCCTTGCATTGGTGAGCAAGTTTCTATATTTTGTCTTCTCCAATGCATTTCATTTCAAGCCTGAATACACCTCTGATAATTCTTGCATATTCCTTGATTTTTTTGTTTTTCATTCGGGTTCCATAGCTTAGGTAGGCTTCAAATACCTTTGTTGATCCTGTTTTATTCATGGCTGGAACTTATTCCTTGTTGATGTTTGACAGGTTTCAGGTTAGAGCTAAGTACGTCTTTGGTATTGATCCTTGAAGGGAGCTAAAGGCCACCAGTGGTCTCGAGTGTGAAGCTTGCTGTGAGGGCTAGAGGTTCAACCAAGAGTGAAATTGAAGTTTTGTCGTAAGCAAAGAGTGTTGTTGCAACTTGTGCTATCTTTACTTTAGCTTTGATTTGCACCAAGAGTTTTCCATAGTGAATTAGCTTCTTGTGGACTTGGTCCCATGGATGTAGGCAAGTTTGAACCATGTAAAATGTGTGTGTTTTTTATTTGTTGCCATGGATGTTTTGTTTATGTTGTAATGATTAAACCAACACAAAAGCAAAAATGAACAAGTTAACCCATTCCGCTTAAGTTTTAACAACTTGGTAATGTTTTAAGACTTTCATTTTGGTATCAGAGCTTATTCTAAAAGTTATTTTTGTTATCCTTGCTTGTTCTTTGTGCTATATCTTGTTTTGGTGTCTATTTGCATCTTGATTATTTTTGTGTTGTTGAGCAGTTTCTGCTCGCTACAGACCTTGTGACCACATCGCTCTATGTCGCACATCTGTTTTGTGAGCTATGACTATGACCACCTCTGTGGTTATGTACGTGACCATTGTCTTCTATGCTTGTGTGTGACCACATTAGTCTCTGTGTGATGATATCTGTTGTGTTTTTACCATGAACTTCTTCATGAAGGTGGGTATACCAATAGACCACCCATGTTAGAGGGTCCCAACTATGCCTTTTGGAAACCTAGGATGCATGCCTTTTTTAAGTCTATTGATGAAGAATATTGATGTCATGTGTGGTTGGTTGGAAAGAACCGAAATAGAAGAAAAGGTGTGACCAAACCAAACGCATTGAACTGTACTAAGCTGAGTTCGATACTTCTAACTCAACTCAAAGCCCTCCATGCTATGTTTAATGTTGTTAATATTAACCAGATGAAAAATATTGCTAACTATGAGATTGCTAAAGAGGCTTAGGATAAACTCCAAGTTAAAAATGAAAGAACAGACACTATGAAAAAGAGTAGGAACCACATCATGGCAAGGGCGGAATAATAAAAAAAATTCTTGTCAGGGCATGATTCCCTTACCAAAGATCACGATTTCAACTAAATTAATCAACATAAATTAAAACAACCATACGATTATGTGATATATGTCCCGTTGGTGGCTCCTTCTCTAGATTAAAACTTTCAATACTTTTCACCGCACCGTTCACTAGTACTGTTCACGTTGTTCACAACACTGTTCACTGGGGGTTCATTCATCACACTGTTCTCAGGCACTGTTCATCGGGTACTATGGATGGGTATTGTTCATAGGTACTTCATTATCGATCCAACATAGGATCGAGTTTGTCAATATCCACACGAAGGTAGGCTCAAGATCACCTTAGGATTTTTTGCTAGATTAATGGAGGGCTTAAGGGAGGTGGTAGATTAGAGAGAGAGAATTTCTCTCTTTAGGGTTGCGGCTAGGTTTTTGGGAGAGTTAATTTTGCTCTTTTTTGCAAAATTAACTTTATGATTATAGCTCTCTCAAAATAAACCCAATGCCCCTTTATATAGACATCCCAAATAAGGTCCAATAAGGATTGTAAATCGTTAATTCCTATTTGATTGGATTACAATCCTTATTTGAATTGGATTGTAATCCTTGATATAAGGGAATATAATATCTCTTAAAATACTCTCCTAAAATGTGAATCCTATAAATAAAGATTTCTATTTATTTAATTCCTATATAAATACATATTCTAATTAAATAAATATTACTATTTATTTTACTATTATTTAACTATATATATTTATCATATTTAATATATGGGTTTTAATATATATTAATTAAATTAAATAGATATTTTCCATATTAATTAAAATTAATATTATTCCATTTTGCTAAAAATTATCCTAATAAATTGGATAATGGCGTCAATCCTTAGCAAAACTACCAAAGTGCCCTTTTTGCCTATAATGATGCCCTTGGACTCCTAAATTACCGAAATACTATTTTCGGCCCTAGGACAAAATTGTCCTTCTAGTTCCATTTCTCACTTAACTACCTTCTATGTGTATGACCCGAAGGCTCTTCACTTTGTCGGTAGTGTCCTGCTAACTAATTAAGCATCAAGCAATTAGTGTTTTCATACATCAATCAAGATTGGCCTCTAACAAGGCATCATGATTCCTCAATAAGTAAAGAATCAGTGAT